GCGAGCGTAGGCGTGCCTGCTGGGCTGGAGGGCGGGCCACGGCTCTGCTTGCTGAGGTGACGAGGTCACTGACGTGGGCTAAGCCACGACTGTCCCCACAGCTTGGTGATGGGGACGAGGAGCAGACCCCCAGCCCTGCCTGCTGGTCCCCAGGGGAGGGAGCCAGCCTGACCCGTGGCCGCCCACCATGGCGCAGGGAAGGTGGCGCCAGGAGGAGTGCCAGGGGGGCTGCGCCTTCGAAGACGAGCAGGTGGGAGAGGAGACGGCGGCTCCACTGAGCTCTGCTCTGGACTCGGCTGAGAGGACGGGACAGGCAGGGGCTGTAATAACCCTACGGCCTGCTGCCTGGTGTGACCGGCGTAGAGGCCGCCCAGATGCCACGAGCTCCTCGGAGGGAGCGTGCTGACCCCATGGGCGGGGGCGTGGCTGGCATCTGCTCAGGAGCACAGTTAACCACAGACCCGCCAGGGGGCCGAGCTCCAGGGGCAGGGCCCACACGGCGGCCACGGCGGGGCTGTGTGGTGCCAGGGGGAGTGTCAGCCACGCGATTCTGAGGAGACGAGGTGGGGGGCCCCCAAGTCCAGAGAGGGCAAGAGGTTTGCTCAAGAGCACAGGCCGGGTGGGGCAGGGGGGGTTGGCCTGCGCAGGCGGCGTGGGTTTCTCTCTTGGCTCAGGGTCTATCAGGCCCAGGTGAATGGCCGTGCCCCTCCGCGTCCAGGACCCCTGGGAGCACCCGAGACCCGTGGGCCGGGGTGGGGAGTGGCGGCACCGCCCTAACGTGCTCGCTGGCCTGCTTCCCTCTGCAAGGGAGAGGCTGGTGAACCTGATCTTCGAGGACGTGGCGCCTGCCGCCCTGGCCCGCTGTGCATACTAAGAGACCCTGCTGGAGAGAGACGCGAGGAGAATGAAGAAGCGCAGAAGCCGGTTACAGAGCGGCCGTCCTCATGCATATTCATCAGTCACCGGCTCAGGCCTCAATCAGCCTCTCCAGGATGAAGGGGGGGAGAGCGGGAGCCACCAGATGGGTGTGCAGCCCTCCCAGCCCACCATGCTGACCTCGTCCCGCCACCCCTGCCCGGGAGGGGCCAGCAGGGGTCCCAGGGCGCACTGCTGCCTGATGTGGACCGTGCTCCTCGCACACCGACCAGGCCTGCTCTACGCAACGGCAGCTACGCTTACCTTCCGTCCCGGGGAGGCTCGGACGGCGGGCGCGTGTCCCGTCTGAAAGCGGAAGCCGCCTGTCAGCGCGTCGCTGCCTATGCCGACTGTGGGGGAGCCCAGAGCCAGGCAGGACCCTCCATCTGCCGGGCAGGCCCAGATCCCCTCAACTCCAGAGGCTTCTGGCCATCGGAACGCCACGTGCGCCCAGGACCAACCTTCCCATCTTGGGATGCAGGGGCGCAGGCCTGCTCCCTGGGGCAGGAGGGGCGGGGCAGGGGCAGCAGCTGGACCCACACAGCGGCCGGTTGCTGCCTGGAGCGGCCCACAGAGTGGGGCTGCATCGGTGGCAGCTTGGGTCAAGCTCAGGGTGGGAGCACAACCGAGGTGGGTGGGCGGGGTGTGGCCCCTGATGACTAAGATGAACTCTGGCTCAGCTGCCAGTGCCCACGCGTGTCCACAGGGCAGCAGCCACACCGGGACTCGGGCCCCGTGTGCTGGAGGGGGAACGGGCACACCGCCTGCGCCGTCCTGAGCAGGGAGGCCGCTGTCACTGTCTGACTGTCCCCGCCTGTCACCCCACAATGGCATGCCGCCCCGCACATTGGCTGCCTTGCCGCCCGAGCTGCCCGCAGTGGAGCCAGATGCCAGTGCAGCCTCATCCACTGCCTG